CTCCTGTAAAGATTTACAGCCTTGGAAACCCTGTGCAGGGTCGCCATGAGTCAGAACCAACTCCACGGCACAAAACAACAACAACAACTGACCTTGCAGTCCAGTGCTTTATCCCACAGCACCACATCAGGACTCCACTTTGTCTGTAGAGTTCTTGAATTTTATGATCCTATTTCTTGGTGTAGGTTTATTTTATCTATTTTTCTGGATAATAGCGGGGTACTACTAACTGGAAACTCATGAGACATTTTCATAGATTTGTTTCTGAGATGATTTTCACTTCTCTGTTTTTCCTTCTTGAACATCTGGTATTTGAATATATTGGGCCTTTTGACTAGGCTTTTAGTTTTCTTACTTTTTCTCTTGTTCTTCATTTCTTTGTCTTTTTGTGCTTTCTGGAAGATTTCCTCAATATTATCTTTAAATCTTTTGAATTTTCATGTATCTATCACTGTAGGATTAGCACTGGACTGCGAGCCAAAAAGTCAGCAGTTCAAACCCACCAGCTGCTCCTCAGAAACCCTATGTAGGGTTGCTATGATTCAGAACTGACTCAATGGCATGTAACAACAGCGACAACATGACAATATTGTGTGTGTGTGTGTGTGTGTGTGTGGTATGGTGCAGTAGGATAAGCACTGGTACACTGGTCTGCTAACTAAAAGGTCAGTGGTTCAAGCGTACCAGCCGCTTCTCGGCAGTCCTCTACAGGGTTGCTATGAGTTGGAACCAACTTGACAGAACTTAACAACAAAACATCACAATATTAATTTCCAAGAGTTCTTTTTTTTTTTTTTTTCAAAAAGTGTCCTGTTCATGTTTCAGGGATGCAATTGATATCTCTTTAAGAGTATTGTTGTTGTTAGGTGCCATCGAGTCAGTACTGACTCATAGCGATCCTATGTACAACAGAATGAAACTGCCCGGTTCTGGGCCAACCTCACAATTGTTGCCATGCTTGAGCCCAATGATGCTGCCACTTTGCCAATCCATCTTGTTGGGGGTCTTCCTCTTTTTCTCTGACCCTCCACCTTACCAAATATGATATCCTTCTACAGCGACTGTTCCCTCTTGACAGTATGTCCGAAGTATGAGAGACGAAGTTTGGCAATCCTGGCCTCTAAGGAGCACTCTGGCTGCACTTCTTCCAACACAGATCTCTTTGTTCTTTTAGCAGCCCATAGCACTTTCAATACTCTCCTTCAACACCATAACTCAAAAGCATCAATTCTTCTATAGTCTTCCATATTCACTGTCCAGCTTTTGCATGTATATGAGGTTAGTGAAAATACCATGGCTTGGGTCAGGTGCACCTTAGTCCTCAAGCTGACATCTTTGCGCTTCAACACTTTAAAAAGGTCTTGTGCAGCAGATTTGCTTAATGCAATACATTGTTTGATTTCTTGACTCCTGCTTCCATGAGTGTTGATAGTTGATCCAAGAAGAATGAAGTCCTTGACAACTTCAGTCTTTTCTCCGTTGATAAGAATGTTTATATATTTTTCTTTTGAAGATTTTTCCTCTAATATAGTAGTATTTATAGGTTTTTTCCCCCCCCCCCCCCCCTTGTGTTGTATTTTGGCTTTTTAATTAGATGCATTTATCACTTGTCTGGTTGAACTAACAGGCTACTTGAAAGTGTTTGCTGCATGAGTGAGGTTTGTTTACTATGGATGTCAGTGTTGGGTGTCTGTCAGGACATTTTCCGTTAGGATCCTTCCTAATGTCAATCTGTTTAATCATTCTCTGTTCATTTGGTCAAATTCCCCAGAGAGAGCCTTTTTAAATGCCAGGAAGATGTTAGCATTCTGGATGCTGGATCATGCCGAAAGTTTTTGGGATGTTGGTATTCAGAGTGTAAACTGGTGGTTTATTTAACGTTTTCTGTGTGATACTTTTGCTTCTGTATTCCTTATGGCTTTGCAGAGTTGAGAAGAGGCAGAATCTGAGCACTGAAGTTTTATTAAATAAACTTTCAATGAATCCTCCTCTTTGTAGTTTTACCTTCACAATTTGAGAAATGCATGGTGTTAGCAAATTTGAGCCTTTGAGCGTTCTGTAATTTGAATCACCTCTACTGCTGGTGTAGGATTAAGTTTTTGCTCTGACAAGTCAGGTATTTTCTCCTGTTTTCTGGCTTCCAAAATCTATTGCGGTTCTTTTTTCTCCTTTGTCTTTGATGATTTGTCTTTTAAGAAAAAGTACTTTTTAATTTCAGTGAGGTTTTAGGAAAAAGTAGAAGCTGATTGCATGTGTTTAACCTGTCATTTTAAACAGAAAGCATATACAACCACACACACACTATCTATCTACCTATCTATATATGTATGTATGTATCTTTTAAAGAAAGTAAGAACACTTCAAATGAAAAACAGTATAGTGGTACAAAATTTTAACATTGATTGTCTTTGAATGGTAGGATTACAGGTGTTTTATAAAGTTTATCCTCCTTGTATTTTATTTGGGTAAGATATATATGATACTTGTAAAAAAAACCGGAGGTAAGAATATGGTACTTAGTGTGTTAATTCCTTTTTGATTTATGCTTGCTTCTGGGTAAGACAGATTATGCAGCATCCTTTCTCTGTCCATGGAATCCAGGATCATCTGAATGGCAGAATATTTGGTGATCCTAAGTCTAGGTTACTTAACTACTATGAATTATGCTTGAGTATGAAATACCTGGTGTTGTTAACCTATATCTGATGCATAGTTTTCCAGTATAAAACCTAAGGAAAAACAGTATTTGGACTTAGAATATCTTTAGTTTGTATATGATGTTCACAATTATGGAATAATTAATAGCATTATTTATCTGCTGCTTTTATATGAAACATTCTTGCACAAATGTTAAGTAACTAAATGGCTGCACAGATACACTGGTTGGCTGTGAATGGGCGGACAGAACTACTCCATGACCTTGTGCAGCACGTCAGTGATGTTGACGTTGAGGATGCAATGGGACAGACAGCGCTGCACGTGGCCTGCCAGAATGGACACAAGACGGTAAATTCAGCCATGAGGATTTTTAAATTAAGTTGCTCGTGTTCATTTTTGAAAATTCTGAATTCATGACATCTTTTTCACAGTATGCATATGAGAATGTGAAGCATCATAGCAAAATCTTAGAGCATTTTATGCACTGTGTACACTGACTAATATATTTTGTATAGATTAGGAACTAAAAAATGGTGCTTTAAATATACCAAAAGTACTTATAATTTGGATTTCAATTTTATTTCTTTTTCTTATATTCTAATAGCTGAGTACAGTCATGTGTCACATAATGTCTGTGATACTTTTTGTGAAATAGGACTTCATGTGAATTGGGCATTGTCTACCACCATATTGTAGTCTGGTGTGTGTTTTTCTTTAATCATCTCTAACAAGCTTCATGTCTTAGCAATGATATCCTCAACATGCTGAGATGAGGATTTGTTTTTGTGTTTGGTCCTCAAGATAACATTGTTAGCAATTTCTCCATATCTGTTAAAGGGCCCTTTCGAATTTTTGTAAGCTTTGTAGCATTTAATGGAGCCGATCCTGAAACAGCTTGGAGAAATTTTGTGTTTTTTTTGTCTTTGAGGATCTTGTGATTTCCTAAATTGTGAGCAGTAGCATTCACTGTGTTTTCCAGATTCATGTTGCTTAATCATCTTGTATTTCCCTCCTAAATTGGTTCTCTCCTTTGCGTCTTGCTGCTGTTATCACTAGCACTGGTTTGCTCCTGTTGGGAGCCACAATGAAATTCATGGTAATCTTTTCAGAAGAATATTAAACAGATACTGCTGTAACACTGAAGAGATACATGATGCATACACTCACTGTTCTATGGCAAAAGTTTTAGGTAGAAAGTACAGTGTAGTACGCTCAAAGCTAGTAGCATAGGTGTTTATTATAGCTATCAAGACACAATCTTTTGTGGAATTTTTTCACAAAACAGTTTGTAGAAAAATGGATGACAAGATAATGGGATTTTTCTGCAAGCTTTTTGAAGCCCCTCATATTATAGGTTATTTATGTGTTTTCCCATCATTATATGTCTGGTAGTGCAATTGCTTGTATACAAGAGACATGAGATACACGTGTTGTATGCAGAATACTATTGTGTTCTCTACTTCCTGCTCTCCAGTAGGAATTTCTGATCTACTGTCAGTAGTGTAGTGGTTATGAGTCGGGCTGCTCATCTCAAGGTCAGTACTTCAAAACTTCCAGCAGATCAGCGGGAGAAATGTAAGGCTTTTTGCTCCCATAGAGATTTACAGCCTCGGAAACACTATACAGGGTCGCTATGAGTCAGAACTGACTCTATGACACATAACCACCACTACCAGAACAGTCTTAAGAGATACCACAGGTATATATGAGTTTGAACACTGCCCAAACAACCGTTATGTGGTGCATGACTGTATACTAAGTTTGTAAAGGTATAGCATGTTTATGTGTAGTTCTAAAAATGTTATTCTAAGCTATAGAAAGTGAGTTAAAAAACTTTTTTTTTTTCACTATTAAATCTTAGTTATTGGGAATATATAGTTAGGAAAGTGAGCACTACATCAATTCCGTTTCCACCTTCTGTGATATATGATGCAAATACAACAATGATGGCTGCTTGTTTTCTTATTTTAGATTTGTAAAATCCTGCATTTGTTTCATGATTTCCTTTTATGTATACTTAACACATCTTTGGTTTTTGAAATGTGCTACTATGTCTCTCATTAGAAGATTTTTCTGTCTTATAAAAAAAATTGTTAGTTTATGATTTTAGATTGAATTTTTTACTACAATTTCTTATTTGATTACATTCATTTTGCCCCAGCCTTCAACTTCTCACATTTTGCCCACAGAGTGTGTGTAACTGTTTATTGATGATAGAAGGTTACTGATCTACTAACAAACCAAAACAATAACAACTAAAAACAAAAACAAAACAATTGCCAACTGAGGTTTTTGGTTTGTTTGTTTGTTTGTTCAAATTCTCTCCAGTACCTGTCTGTCATTTTGTTGTACTGTGGCTTGCATGTTGCCGTGATGCTGGAAGCTGTGCCACTGGTACTTTAAATAGCAGTGTCAGCCATGGTGGACAGGTTTTAGCTGAGCTTCCAGACCATGCAGACTAGCAAGAAGGAGAGGCAGACTACTTCCAGATGTTTGTTGTTGTTAAGTGCCATCGAGTTGATTTCGACCCATAGTGACTCTATATAGGGTCTCCAAGGAGCAGCTGGTAAGCTTGAACCACCAACCTTGCAGTTCAAATGGCCTTGCAGTCTGGTGCATTAACCCACAGCACCACACCAGGACTCCAAATGGTTAGCCACTGAAAATCCTATGAAAAGCAGTGGTGTGAGATAGCACAAGAATATTGTGAGATATTATGCTGGAAGAATAGCACAGTAATAGCTATTGTGCCGGAAGAATAGCCCCTCAGGTTAAAAGGCATTCAAAATATGACTGGGGAAAGGCTGTCTCTTCAAAGTAGAGTTGACCATGCAAATGGAGTAGCACCTTCATTTCGGCCTTTCATTTGCTGATGGAGTACACCTTAAAATGAGGAGAAACAGTTGTAAATAACCACTGATAATCAGAACATGGAATATACAAAAAATGAATCTAGGAAAATTAAGAGTTGATGAAAATGAAATGGAATGCATAAAATTGATATACTGAGCATTGTTGTTAAGTGCCATGAAATCATTTCTCACTCATAGTGACCCTGTCTAGGTTTCTGAGCAGCTGGTGGCATGATTGAGCTGAAATTGATGGGTTTTGGTCATTTTCAATCAGACAGTTGTATGGTTTACTATACCAGGAAGGATAGATTGATGAGGACTGGTGTTGCATTCATCATCTAAAAGAATATTTTAAGATCTATCTTGAAGTATAATGCAGTTTATGATAGGATAATATTCATACACCTATAAGGAAGACCAGATAATACCACTAATATTCAAACTTAACCACCAACCACTAAAGCCAGTGATGATGAAATTGAAGAAATCTATCAACTGCTTCTGTCTGAAATTGATCAAACATGCAATCAAGCTGTATTGATAATTACTGGTGATTGGAATGCAAAGGTTGGAAACAAAGAAGAAGGATCAGTAGTTGGAAAATATGGCCTTGGTGATAGAAATGATGCTGGAGATTGTATGCTAGAATTTTGCAAGATCAGTGACTTATTCATTGTAAATACCTTTTTCAAGCAACATAACATGATTATACACATGGACCTAACCATATGAAATACACAGAAATCCAATTGTGTACATTTGTGGGGAAGAGACTGTGAAAAAACTTTCTATCATCAGCCAGAACAAGACTCTGTCATCAGCTAAAACAAGATCGGGGCAGACTGGAACAGGTTATCAATTTCTCAAATTCAAGCTGAAGCTGAAGAAAATTTAAAAAAACAAGTCCATGAGAGATAAAATATGACCTTGAACATATCCCACCTGAATTTAGAGATCATGTCAAGAACAGATTTGATAAATTAGACCTTAATGACAGAAGACAAGAAGAGTTGTGAGATGTACCAAAAAAAAAAAGGTTGATGTTCAAACAATTCAAGAGATAATATAGGATCAAGAGCCAGTGGTATTAAAGAAAGAAGTCCAGGGTGCTGCATTGAAGGCATTGGCAAAGAACAGGGCTCTCAGAATTGATGGATTACAAATTGAAATATTTCTACAAACTGATGCAGCACTGGAGGCACTCATTCACCTATGCCAAAAAATTTAGAAAACAGCTGTCTGGCCATCTGATTTGAAGAGATCCATATTTGTGTCCATTCCAAGGAGAGGTGACCCAACAGAATGCAGAAATCATTGGACAGTATCATTAATAACGCATGCAAGTAAAACTTGCTAATCTAAAAATAACTGCCTGTAAATTGACAGGGAACTGCCCTGCCAGAGGTTCAAGCTGGAAACAGAAGGGATGTGGAGTGAGGGATATCATTGTTGACATCAGACGGATCTTAGCTGAATGTAGAAATTACCAGAAAGATGTTTAACTGAGCTTTATTGACTATGCAAAGGATTTTTTTTTTTTTTTTAACAAAAGAAGAAATAAGATTTTATTTTAGTGCTCAGAAGATAATTAACATAAAAACAACAAATATATTTGTAATCTTTGAATTCTAATGTGAACAAGTTACATAATTATGTAGCTAAATATTAAAGTTTTAGAGAATAAGTCATATTATTTGCATTACATATTTATTTAAACACATTTAAAATAAGACCAGGAGAGGTTTTAAATTAAGGATATTAATTAGTATATTTAAAATTATAATAAAGCTTATATTCCTAATAAAATGATTATAAATTTTTTATAAGCAAAGTATGTCCTATTACAAGTAACACTGTAATTTCAATTTGTAAACTGATAGTGTTCTGTTCTAAAATGTCAATGTTCTTAAGAAAATTAGATCATCATTTATTAACTTACTATAAAAAACAGGGTAATTTAGATCATTAAACACTTAGACGTACAAATGGCAGTGAACTAGAACCCCCAAAACATTAAATTCTCATTGCTGTGACATAAAAAAAAACCCCATACATTTACATAGTCATGGACATTTATTGACTAAAGAAAAAATATTGAACCCATACTTCACCATGTATGTTCACTTTTTCCAGTTAGATTTGTAAACTCTTAAAAAACAAATGTAGAAAACAAGCATTATTGAGGTAAATAATTTAAACATTTTATTGCTCTTTAAATACTAAAGAACATTAGTCTTTATAATAGAAAAGGAAATGCTAAATCAAATGTTCTTTAAAATATATTAGAAATATTACTTAATGCATAATATTTCTTTGGGAATCCTGGTGTGGTTATGTAAGATAGTCAATGGACTGCTAATTGAAAGGTCAGCCGTTCAGACCAACAAGCCACAGTCCTCAGAAACCATATGCAGGATTCCTGGTGTGGCGCTGTGGGCTAATGCGTCAGACTGCAAAGTCGTTTGAACTATGTGGTCGGTGGTTCAAGCTCACCAG